GCCAAAGAAGGGTTTTAAAATAAATCTCTTAAAAAGGTACAATTCTTTCAATTGGCCTTTGTTTTCCTTTTAACAGCTGAAGAAAAGTACTTAGCAAAAATGTGAGTTCACAACTAATGAATGGATAATATTTGTCCAGACTGCCTGGACTCTGGGGTTTGGGGATTTTGTTTATTTCTGTTTTACTAAGATCTTACATTTGTCCCTGTCTCAGGACAGAGTCCCATTCTGCCTGAAATCCTCCACCATTGTTTCTATTCCAAAAAAGAAAATCACATATCACTTGCCTAAACGACTACCAACTAGTGGCTCTCACCCCTCTGGTGATGAAATGTTTTGAAAGACTGGTTCAGTCACATCTTAGAGTTTATTATTCACACCTTTGATACACACCAGCTTGCTTATTCATTTTTTAATTCTTATTTTAAGCAAATAGGGGAAATACATTGGCACATCAGCCCCACCAAGATTTTTATCACCACAATGCAGGTAACAGACACATTGCAATACAAAAAACACACTAGAGCACACATAGACACGTAAGCATATTTCTTGGCATTAAAGACAACCCATAACCTTAGCTGGTTTAAAACCATAGCATCACACAGTCTTTCAGTACCAACATTAGATCTGTCTGTCTGTCTGTCTGTCTGTCTGTCTGTCGGGATAGCTAGAGACATTGGGTTAGTTATCTGAAACTGCATCTATGAAAACTAAACTAGTCAGGATTGCGGAAGCTACGCCTGGCAATAACAAAGCTTGAGGCCGATTCATCCAAGAAGGATGTCGTAGAAGGACATGAAGGAAAGCAGCTGGTCATCGTGAATAGGATGTTCTAGCTTTGCAGCCAGTTTGGATCTGAGGACAGACTCTCTTCGGAAAGCCAGCGAATATTTTTCTGTAACTGCTCCGATAATCAGCAACGCTTCTCAAAGAGCGCAGCTTAGTAGGATATTCACAGATTTAGGTCTATTAAACAGTGAACGAATTTCAGTAGATTTTTGGAGAAACTCACCAGCTGTCAGGAGGATCGTTATCAGTGTGCAGCGGTTCATCAACACGCGGCTGGAGGGGGGGCTGAGGGGGGGCTGCGCTCTGTCTTTATGATGCGGATCAAAACTGCGGATTGCATCTCCATGCTTCAAGTAGCCTACTGCTCGTTGATACTAAAGGTGTTTCCTTCGTATTATTATATTATTTTTGATTGCTTTATGAACATAGTACATAGTATATCAATCAAATAAACGTCAAAATTAATGTTTTCACAAATAATGTGCAGGAAAAACAAAAGGCAATTCAATTTTGTCCCCATTAACCTGTAATTTATTTAAAAAACGCTCATTTATCCATTCATCGAGTAAATCCTGCTTTATCCTTGCAGGTCAGGGGTGGCTGCTGCTTATCTGTGGTCATTGTGAGAGAAAGAGGGTTTTCCTGTCAGTTTTTGGGTTTGGGTTTACTCTTGCATCTTTATTATTATTTTAGTTCACTTTAGTTTCACCTTTTATTGTCATTTTAGTTTTATTATTTGAATGTAATTTGTTTTGGTTAGATTGTTCTTGCTTTTCCTCGTTCAGCCCCGCTGAAGTATTTCTAGCTGTTTATTTTTCAGCTTATCCTAGCTCTACGTTCTTATTGTTAGATTGGCCCTGTTTCTGTTTAGGTTTCAGGTCTTTTTTGCTTCTTGTTTAGGTTTCTTTAGTTTCAGTGTTTCTTTAGTATTAGAAGTATTTTCTTAACTCCACCCCCACAGTCAGCTGCTCTGCCAACTTTTCATACCTCCACCAGTTTTCTCATTAAGCCAGCTCCTTTGTTTTCAGTCAACCTCACAGTATTTACCTCCTCATTGTTACTCACAACTTGCCAGATCCTTGTCTTGTGTTTTGTCATCTTTTACCAGTGTTTGAGTTATTTTGCCATTGCTCACTAGTGATGGCCAAATGAAGCCTTGTGAAGAACTGAAGCTTCCCAGCCCTTTCCTTTGCCCAAAGGTTCATCATTCGGTGGTTCATTCATTTCTCTCTCTGACATTTGTTGTTGAAAACTGTGGCAACCTTGTCACTCAGATGTACTTAAAAAAATTAGTAAATGCAATATTGTCACAAAGTTTTTTTTTTTTTTATCAAACTCATGTTTAGTGACAGAAAAGTCAATTAAATCCTATTTAACTAATCTCTAGTTAATAAAGGTATTTGTAACTGATCCTGGTATATGCTGACTGTCAGTGTTTTTTTTTTTTGTCATCGACTGATTTGACAAGACATTTGTTTTAGTGTATTCAGAGTGCAGTGTTTGTTGGGGTAGACAGTATTCTGTGAGTATTGATTTGCCCCCTCAAAAACTGAAATTTTTCAAAAATTCTCTGTTTCTTGGATTGACTCTCTGAGCTCTTATATTTTTATTCATCAAGCCAGAATTTATTTGACTCTTCCAACAACTTTAAGTCTGTTTCTGCTGTGCAAGACTGATATATCTTTGCAGAACAAAGAAACAGTGGAAATTTCACGAAGGTGAGCATTTTGGAGGTGAAGGGGTTCATTATTTTTACTTAAGAATCTGCCAGATTTTTTTCTTCTTGCTGGCTCCATTTTAATCAAGTTTATTTGTGTAGCACAGTTCAGCAACAATGCAGTTTCAAAGTACTTTACATATAAAATATAAAGTAATAAAATAGACCATAATCAACAATTGAGAAAAATGGTAATAAACATTCCATTTTGATGAGTGCGATCAGCAAAACCATTAATAAACATGCACTGTGTTGGTCAGGGTTCTTTTTATTTTGGCCACTACTGAAGACAAATATTCCTCTGATGCGATCAAATACAATAATCGAACCATCACGCTTTTACTTTGAAAACCGACACGCAAAATGAAGGAGTCAGTGACCTATGCAATGTGAGGCGTCGTTTGTTGCCAGTCACGTGGTTTTTCAGCAAGACAACACAAGCATCGAAAACAGTGCTTCATCTGACACGCCCCCTTTTTACTCGGTTCATGCCTCGAAGTCTGGCTTCACATGGCCCATCACTGTTACTCACCTGTGCTGTCTGGACTTTGTATTTTCTATGATTATTCATAAAAACCACCAACTCAGCTTCTGCCTCTGCTTCTGGGTTTGTACTTCTACCACTGATCATGACTCTGGAGGGTGCGAGTCCCATCACAGTCCATAATTTTTAGCATCTTTACATAATGTGGAAAACATCCATTAATGCTGACATTTGTAGTATTATTTATTTATTTTGTAAAATAGAAACTAGTATTATTCTAATTTTGAAGTTACTCTGGCTTTAACATTACGTTAAAGATACATGGTTTTGGTGGATGATGCAAGTCTGCATTCACTGAAACATGACCAACTCTGCAGAAAGTCCTGAATCTTCTTTTAAACTTTGCCTACAATTTTACTTCTTTTTGTTGCAAATGCCTGAAGAAGTGTGGCAAAAAAATGGGTCAAATTCTTTTAGTGTTGGATTTTTTTCCCCTCCCCAGCTCAATGCACAAAATGTAAGATTGGATTAGGAAAATTAGCACATCACCTGAATTCATTCCTCAAGTCAAACGAAAGGTTTTGTACATTTGGACCATTTTGATCTTACATCAGAAAATAAGGTATCGGTTGTCCCTTCGTTGTCGTTCATTCGGTTCTTTTCAGTTTTCTACTTGATCTGGAGTGGCGATTGTTTGTCAAACCAAACATCCAATAAAAAGTTTCATCAGCCATTATAAGGCTCTGGGGTCGAGATTCTTCACACAGGCAAAATAAATTTAATGTCCAAACTGTCTTGGTTGTTTTATTTTCCTTTTCAGCAAGCAATTACAACTTTTAAACTTTCCTTTGTTCCTGTCTATCTCTCTTGTACTGGTAAAAACCCCAAACCCAAATGCCTAATGGTCCTTTACCAGGCCCCTACATCTAAAGAAAGTGGACTGACCCACATTACTTCCTGTCTGACTTAGAAAGAAAACCAAAAAAAGAAATAAAATAAAACATAAATAAAATAAATAATTATTAACCTGCAAATAAACTCTGTAAATAATACAAAAAATAGAAGCTTAAGAATAAACTAACAAAATTCAAATGCATAAAGAAATAAAGAATAAATAGCTCCAACACTATCTGAATCCAAATTCTGCTCAAATTGACTCTTAGTTTACTTTCATATAATGTTCTGCAGGTTAAGTGTTGCATATGTTTGACAGAACTGTCTTATTTAAATAAATAAGACAGCCAGGGTTAGGGTTATGGGTTAACCTCCTCATAGTGCTGAGGCATATGGCATCAGAATGGAGCCCAGATATACCTAGGATGCATACAGCCATTCTACAAATTACTCAATTGCTTTTTATATACCATTTCATATAAATGTATTGTTTACTTCATTTTTTCTACAGCAGGATAATTTGTGTCAAAAAAGCAGACTAAATGTCAAAATGCTGGAAAAACTGATATATTTTTTTTGAATAAAAATTTGTGAAAAAACCCCCAAAGTTCACAAGCATCTTCATTCCAAACATGTTCACTTACAGTTTCACTTTATGATACATGTTATTTATTGACTGAATCTAATAATATCAAATATATTTTAAATTTAACTGAAGATGTGGCATAATACAATATAAAATATACAATGACTTATTGTTTAGACCAGGTCATCAAATCTGTCTGTCAACTATGTAGCCTGTAGGGATTTTTAATGTCTAGCAGGTGTCAGTATTCAGTGACACAGTGTTGATACAATTTTGCCATGGGTCGAAATGCCATGGGTTTGCCATGTCCCGAGATGTGTTGTGTTGATGCATTTTGACGTGTTTCACTCCTGAGGTATTTGTCCGTTGCAACACGCAAACGTCCCCATTCACTCTCAGAGCGTACAGCCATCATTTACCCATCACTGTTCAGATTTTACATAATGAAAACCATATATCATGTTTCTCCCACATCACAGTGACTAGTATCTTGAGTTGGTTTAATCAAAAAATCCCCTCAAGCAAACTAAAATTACAAGTGGGTAAACTTTTATTGTAAGCTCTTTAACATGACTTTACCATTATGTTTACCACTATTAAAAAAACAAACCAAAGAATATATTGTAATACATTAGTAAAATGTTCAAGGTCAAAAACGTGTATGCAATATTTTATGTCACATTTATACAGCGTGAAAAGCTGAAAATTAACAGAAAAAAATTCCAGGTGATACCGCTTCCAGTAGTCTATTTAACATGAAAAAAAAAATTGCAAAAACTTAACAATTCATTTCATTATTTTACTTTTTCGTTCCACTTGGCTATTTTAAAACTTCACGCTCTCCTGTCTAACGACTTAGTAAAACCAACTCTTCTTCGTCCACTTTCTCATCTGATTCGATTCTGCTACACAAACAACTTCACATAATTTTTGCTTACACATATGAAGAGAAACAGAAATTTGATCTAAGGCCTGGGTAGACAAAGAAAAAAAGACAATTTGCTGTCAGACACAAACAGACAGACTAAGTGGCTCAGATCACACTCAAACAGGACTTCTGAAGAATACCCTCAAACTCATCTTGCATACTGCCTCCTCATGGCAGATAGTTCTGAAAGTAACTCCATGTTGGTATACACCTCATTTTAATTATAACTACAGGTAAGTAAGTTATTCCTAAATCAGTATCTAAAGGCCACTTTAGTGTTGAATGTATGGGCCTAAATCTTATATGTCTAAAGACTGTGCACTAATGACAGTATCTAACCACTTTTTGTATGCCACAGCATAGTTGTTCTGCTCAGCATTACAGCAACTTTTCAGTATGCTGTTAACAAAGGTGTGTTCATTTTGTAGGGTCAGAAGGTTGGGCAGAAGGATTCCTCTCCTTAGACGCTTGCTGTCATGGTCAGGCAAGGACACCCTATCCACTTCCATAGGAACACTAACATGTTTATGTCTGTCCACTCTCATCCCCTGGCTGCCACCTGGCTCATTGATACTGATAGGCTTCAAATCATTCTCTCTGCCATCAGTGGAGAGATCTTGATCCTGCCTCCAGTGGTGCCATAAGTAGTACACATGCCGCCTAGAAGAGAGAAAATCATTATTACTGCAATTTATTACTGATTTTACATTCACAGCGCATTTTATTTGGTACACCTGCTCTTTAATGCATATGTCATATCAGCCAATCACATGGCAGCAACTCAATGCATGTAGATGTGGCCAAGACGATCTACTGCTGTTCAAAGCAGGCATCAGAATGGGGAAGAAAGGAGATTTAAGTGACTTTGAACGTGGCATAGTTATTGGTGCCAGACGGGCTGGTCTGTGTATTTCAAAAACTGCTGATCTACAGGGATTTTCACACACAACCATCTCTAGGGTTTACAGAGAATGGTCAGAAAATGAGAAAATATTCCGTGTGTGGCTGTTCTGTGGGTCCAAAAGCCTTGTTGATGCCAGAGGTCGATATCTGCTGTGACATTCAGATGGCAGGGTCAGAATTTGGTGTCAACAACACGAAAGCATGAATCCATGCTGCCTTGTATCAAGAGTTCAGGCTGGTGATGGTGGTGCCAATTAGTACCAATTGAGCATCATATCAACGCCACAGTCTACCTGAGTATTGTTGCTGACCATGTCCATTCCTTTATGACCACAGTGTACCATCTTCTGATGGATGCTTCCAGTAGGATAACACGCCATGTCATCAAGCGCGAATCATCTCAGACTGGTTTCTTGAACACAACAATGAGTTGTGTATAGACAAATATTCAACATCTGGTCTGAATGAGTGTGAATAAATGGTTGTCAAAACTCTTTCTACATGTGAATTAAGACCTAGTTTCAGAAAAACATGGTTTCAACACTCATCAAAAACAAAAAGTTATTTATTTTCAGAAGTGCATAAGCTGCCCCATAGAGCAAAATGATAATCCAGAACTAAATACACAAAAAATTTTAAAAAATTGTATTTCCAAAAGTATTCTCTATTATTTCCTGCAGCAATGGGTATTCAAATCAGAAAGAATATATTCAAATTATGAAAGCTCACCTGTGACTCCAGAGTGTTTCATGTCCTGGAAAAGACTGAATCAGGTCAGAGCACAGTTTAGTCTCCTGGTAAAAAAGTTTAAATACTGTAGTGATCCTATCCCCACAGGCTGCATCAGCCAATGACAGCTCACCATTAGCCTGAGGACAGGTGCTATGGACTGAATTGCTCTGATGCTGGGATGGACAAAAGACTGTGCTAGCAGAATCAGAAGACAAAGACTGGCTCAGTTCAGTGTTCAGTAACTCCTTGAGAAGGAACTGCCGGTAGTGAAACCCACTGTGATCAGATACGTGCATGGAGACCCATGGATGCACAGATGACAGTTCATCATGGAAAACCTGTGAGAAAATAATACAATAAAGGCAGATTACATGCAGAGTTAACAGCAGGAGACTGTTGTTAGCAGCAAATGTTCACTGCTATGCTAAAAATACTCTGCTATTTTTAGCCATAAATCCAATCGGTGGAGACGCTGATTTCAATTAATCTGCTTGTGTGCTGGATAATCTACTATTTAGATTAACGAGCTATAATCCAAGAAATCATCTTAGTAAATTTGCTGCAATCTTCAAACCATGACACAAAAAAAAATCTTTCAGTGGCTATTGAGTGATAAAAATGTATAAAGTAATATGACAAGACGAGCTATATGTTGACACATACGTACATTCAATGCAATAAAACACTTGCTTTGAAGACATAAACAAGTAACATTAAGCAAATAAAAGTGCAATGTGAGGTAATATTTTTTTTATAATGTCAAACCTTTATGTTGCCTTTAGCCATGTGCTGCAGTACCCAGATGCGGTGGGACCAGGCGTTATAATTACTAGGATAGCGACAAGCAGCGTCAGAGCACACCTTCATCTCCTGGTGTATTAATCTATCCAGATGACGACCCAAAAACTGGGTCCTCTCTGCATCAGGCTGCTCTGCTTCAACCTGCTGCTGAGTCTTGTGGGCAACAGCAGAAAACTGACGCAGGATGTGCTGCAACACCCAGCGTCTGCAGGGAAACACGGAATGTTCAAGGATCAGGTGTATAATTTCATCAGCGGAGACCAAATCAGTATTTGCATACTAAGTGTTTTTAGCTGTCTTTTCTTGTTAAGGTGCATGATTGTTTTGTTTATTTGAAGTTCTGTAGCTCCTATGAGGATTTTGCACTCCCACTAAGCATTGTATTTGGTATGTCACTAGGTAGTTCAAACCTAACTTTCCCAATTTTAGTTGACTATGAGAAGGTGGTACTAACAGTGCAGAATTTTTAACTACAGGTCTGCGCGGTCATGAATTGGTAGTACAGCAACGTAATGTGGGTTGCAGGACTTTACAAGACCTCAACACAGCAATCATGTTGATGTCAGAAATCACATTGGTGAGTAAAGCCGACAACATACATTTTAAAAGGTGAAGTAGTATGCAAAAAATCGTTCCCTTAACGCCTTAACCTGCACCGGAAGGCCCGTTTGCCATTTTTCCATTATATTTTCCGGGGCTGAGATTTAAGGGTTTAAATCTCAGGGTTCTGCCGGTACCCTTCACGATGCTTTATTGGGCAGCCTAGAGCCCCCCATTTGATTGACACCACAGTCGACCAATAATGCTTGTGCTTTTTTAGCACAAGCATCCCCGAGATGTGTTGTGTTGATGCATTTCACTCCTGAGGTATTTGTCCGTTGCAACACGCAAACGTCCCCATTCACTCTCAGAGCGTACAGTTTCACACCTCATGGCTTAGGATTTGTTGCAAAGGAATTAGGAGATGAGCTGTACAAACAGGCTCCGAATTGAGATACAGATGATCGGTTTTGGTGATTGGCAACAAGAGACAATGATCGACAATCACCAATCAATTCACGGAAATACATTTTTTACAAAAATGTGATCGGTGGCCAATTAATTGGCCCACCTCTACTATATACTGTTCAATTCAGGTTTCTTACAGTCTTACAGTGCAATTTGTTTGTTTGTATTCTTTAAATAGAGCATGGAGAAATATTTGTATTTTCAGTCTCATCACAAAAGGTTTTGTTTCTGTTTAGTTTGGTTTTATATATGCAATTTTTGTAGGTTTCACTTTCAAAATGTGAGCGCAACAAAAATATTTGGAATAATCGAGAACATTTGTTCTGTACTTTAAAAGGGGAAATCTGAGTCTTAAAACCTTACCTATGTATCCATGTCTCAGGGCTTTTGGGGAATTTGGTGAGGGCCAGCTTGCTCAAGTAAAGATCTCTTTCTGGATTCAGGGCACCACACTCAAGCAGCTCCTTCCTGTAACAACACACATTATTATAGTCCTCTGAAAGAGCCATGTTTAAAATGCAGAAAAAGATTTTAAAAGATAATTTAAAAACAAACTGTTTCCAATTGGAACAAAATGTCGCCAGTCCATTGCAGGGCAACACAGAGACAGACAGGACCAATAACACGAACGCTCACACACACGCTCACAGACACACACACACATGTCCACATGCACGCGCACACACCTAAGGATGTGGCCATTTGCCAAGTCCTGCTGGAAAATAAAATAAAATCAGCATCTCCATCCAGCTTGTCAGCAGAGGGAAGCATGAAGTGCTCTAGACTTCCTGGAAAACACCTGGACTGATTACGGACTTCAGAAAACACCAGCAGATGACATGGCACCCCAAACCACAGATCGGAACCTTCACACTAGACTTTAAGTAATGTGGACTCTGTGCCTCTCCTTGATGGCAGATAAGGTGGCAGCCCTCTCCTGGGGCTTTATGTCCCTCGTAGGGCCATCCAAGGGAGACAGGTTCTAGGTGAGGGACCAGACAAAGAGCAGCCCGAAGACCCTGATGATGAGCAGGTACTTTGGATTCCGTGTTCCCTCGCCCAGACGCGGGTCACTGGAGCCCCACTCTGGAGCAAGGCCCGGAGAGGAGGCACAATGACGAGCGCCTGGTGGCCGGGCTTTTACCCATGGAGCCC